ATATAACAATCGATAACAGAAGACTACTATTTCATTCGAATTGGACGCAACCGAGTAATACTACGCTCGTTAAATTGTGTCGATTCTTGGCCACGCGTCTAACACGTAATTATGAGTCAAAAGATTAACGGCGGATTGAGCACGTGCGCGAGAAATATCGCTGGAACGTGAAACGATTGAAAGCACGCGTTTAGATGTGCGTTCAGGTTGACACGACAGCGTCGCACGCATTCACCGTCGCTGGAGATCGCGCTCTCTGCCCCGATTGGAGGATTCAACGACCTCACGCTGAACTTTATTAGACATTATTACGTTCCGCGCTGATGTCAGCGGTTCGTATTGATTCGATTTAGCGGCGCGTTTGTTGCGCGATCAATCGTCGCGCCGCGATGCGCCGGAAACTTTCGTTTCTACCGCTGTCGCTCGCTTATTAATTGAACCTACAGGCAGATACTTTTCATCCTGATCCATGTTCAAGTTGAATTCAACTCCGGTGATTTCCGGGACACGTGGAAACTAGAGGCTGGTCCTTCTGCTGCGAACTGCTTTCCGCTCGAAAGCGGTAACGAGTTCGCGTGGCACCGTCCCGAACCGATTCAGCATCCGCTGACAGGAGTCGTGCGTGCAATTAATTGCCGGTAATCGCGAGGATTCCCGCAATTACGAGAAACCGACCGAGACGAGGAGGAAACAATCGACTCGCCCTACCGTGCAACGCGCTCGCAACTGCGAGCGATTTCTCGCGCTCCTCGCTGTTCTTTAACACGTCGATCGTGGCGGTCACCGGTGTTCCAATTGTTCCTATACAACTTCGCGAAAGAGCAGGCGGCGCGCGAAACACTCAAGATTCCAGCAGTCAACGCGTCAACCCCCGAACTTGGCAAAGCGACTCGCGTCTTTCATTAAACTCCATCGTCGAGGGAATTCTCTTGGCAGCCTTACGGCCAGTCCAGCAGCTTTTCACCCGTCCGAGACAATACGCAGTTTCTTTCGCGTCGTCCAGTGGTTTTTCGTCGTCCCGAGAGAATCAACTCGCGAAATATCGTTTGAAACTCGATTACAGTGAACGAGCTTTCGTCGACAGTTGGATCCGTTAGATACCAAGATCATTTAGTATTTGGATGAAGCATACAAAGTCATCGAGATTCGTCACCTAGGATACACAGGACCATCGGAAACATTCGAGTAAGCAATGTCTAAGGATTCGTCCTTGTCGAATCACCGAAAGGGATGGAAACTCTTTGCACCGCCAGACGCGTTGCTTTATACTATCGAGATAGTCGTGCTCCGGAATCTTGTAGGATCGAATCCAATAAAGGGAATCGTGGGAAAGTGGGTGATTTTCCCTCAACAGTCGAACACGTAACACGGGAACGGCTCTCCGCGGGAGAAACTTGCAGGACTGGACCAGATTGGGCCGTAACAGCGCATTAATCGGTGCCGGTTTCTAATAGAAGCAACGTTATCGCGGTAATCGAGCTGTTTCGGCACGCGTGCGCGCGCACGCCTTTGTGCCTCACGATGGAAGAAATTGATTTCTCCGGTTCGTATCAGCGGCACCATACATCACCGCGATTTAACATAGTTTCCAGTGAAAATATCCTTTTCAACGACGCTGCCGCCATTAGCATACTTCCCCGTCCCGAGCAACCGCGTTAACGCTCTGATTAATAGGAAAATGACGGACAGCCGTTGCTTCGATTCCGAAACGGCGGCGTTCCTTTCGATTCCCGCGCTCGCGCCGCTTGTCACGCCAACTTTTCCGCAGTTCGTAAATTTCGTTGTTCCTTCCGTCTTCCCCCGCGTCTCGCTGTATCGGACGAGATCGAGATCGCGTATCGTGCTCATAGTTCGTTGTAAATCTTTCCCGATTGTCTGAGCATTGTTTATGATCTCCGCCGCGCCAGCTCGCTCTCGTTTACCGGTGCAACCGGTGCATCCACGACTTATTATTCACGTTTCCCGCGTAAACGTTCGTAAGCGGTATCGCGTTACACCTGCTGTCGAGCGTTCCGCTCGGCTACACGCGCGCCGCGAAGATGGATTTTCCTGTCTCGGATTCTCGCGGCTGGCGCGCGTAATCTCTCGCGATCGTCAGTCGCGAGCGCCGTTGATGCGTTCCGTGCTGCCTGATTTTCGAGAAATTCAACTGAGTCGCTGCTGGCGTTTCGATCCACCATGCGTAACAGTCTCGAACGCTTCACAGTTATTTAATCGAATAATTCGTTCGGTTAGATATTACAACTGACGTTTCCTCCATTTGACTTCAATTCTTGATTATCTTTTAACACTGGATTCCCAGAGATATTGAATTCTTTGATCATTCGGTAAGCACATGTGAATCTAGTGTTACTCGAAGTTCAATATTTCCGAAATGTAACGAGATTTTTCGTTTGCGCGACGCGTTAGAGGAGAGCCAGCGTCCATTTCGCGATTGAATAAGAAGAAGATGAGTCCCCGAACAAGGGAGCCCGAGGTAATAGAATGTAAGGGGACTCGGCTCGATCGGCAAAAGAGTCACGTAGCCGAGGCTCCTCCGAGAATGTCTAGTTTCTTCCGCACTTTACGAGGCACAGCGGAGTTACGCCGTGAACTTCGCGCCGCGGAGACTCGTAGATGCGTCTACCGGGCTTCGACAAATAGATCGAACGCTGCACGGCTCCCCGCGAAACGGCACGCCAACGACAACAAACGGAACGCGGCGACTCGAGACGAGAACCGAATAGAGCCGAACCGATATGGCTCCCGCGTGTATATTTTCCAACCGCGTCCCGGGATAATATTTCGAAAACGAGAGCTTTTTAAACGACCGTTCCGTTTCTGTTCCTTTCGCTTTGGAAAACAACTTCACGGTGAACCCTCGATTTATCGTGCTCGAGTCGATTCCGACCCAGTTTCCCGAAGACTTCGTTCGAGCTCTTAACTCTTCGCGGCTAACTCGAACCGCAGGGAGATATGCTCTTGGGGAAACACTCGGAAAAATAAGGAACTCCCGCTCGCGTGGCCAACGTCAATATTGATTAGCCCAGCTGAATTATAAGGGCTCGAAGTGGATTAACCCCCGGAGAATGGACTTCTCCGAGATTCTTATAGGTCACCCAGAACCATTAGTCTCCGACTGATCAGTTTTCCTGCGAGATCCGTCGATCCTACTGGATCCAGCGCGATAAGCAATCGCAATTAGCTGCGAGAAAGCGATAAGCAGACTATGGACGTTCGTGCATTTCCAGGGAACTTGGAAGTTTGTCCCCTTGCGGACGAAGATTCTTATAGAATATAGAAAATATAGAAAACCGTCGGCAGATGAAGCTAAATTATAGATCGATCGAAGGGAAACTACGTAAAACATTCAAAGTATTTTCAGGACGTTGCTAATCTCATTCTTAGACATTTGAATTTCCATAAAACTCTGCGTTTGGAGTCAGTCTGAGTCAGAATACAGCCAGTACTCCCATCAAAGGGTAAATCGAGGATGCCAGAAGTTCATTTTCACAGCGCACGGGCGAACTGTCCGCTGATGGAAGGCCAAACATAGGAGGGGCACGCCGTGAACCTTTCAGAGAGCCACGGGAAAAAAGAGCCGTGAGCTGGCCGGCCAAACTCAGCTTCCTTTTCATCGGAGACGCGATCTTCGTATCTCTCCGAGAAGTGTTTGCCGAGCAAAGATTACGACGGAGCCGAGAGAGAGAGAGAGAGAGAGAGAAAGAGGGGACCGAGGGAGAACGAAGCGGAGGACAGGGAAAGAGAGAGTAATGTTGACGTTACCCCGTTGCGCCGAGCCGACAGGGTTTACCGTCCTCGGGTATAACGAGCTAAACGCGATACGGTTCCGCCTCGCGGTGATAAGTAAATTAGAGACCCGCCGCGGGACGAAATTCTAGAGCGAGGCTGATGCAGCTGGGTTCGAATAGCGAGATAACCGACGCTACGGGCGCTGCCTCCACGGAACGAGACGGAACGGAACGGAACGGAACGGAACGGAACGGTTTTCCGAATACATTTGATCGTAAACTCGAGCCTCGTTCCGCGAGTTTCCACTCCATTTTCGTGGTATTTAAATGGAATTCCCTAGCGTGGCATTTGAAACTGAGCGTGTACAACTCGTAGCTAGTAGGGTAATTCCGGATGCGATCTCGTTTGGATCGTTAAACATCTATGTTTCCGATCGTTTCAAACGGTACGCATCTCGCGTGTACTCTTGTAAATATTCCCTATGAACGCATAAAGACTCGCAGCCCGGTCGCAAGAAAGCAGAGAGGAGAAGTCGAGCGGCGCGTAATCTGGCATCGATTGCAATTAATCCGCGAGACTCTCCCCCAGCGAGAAATAAAATGAAGGGAGCGCGGCGATCGGGAAGCCATAGCTTCCGAGACGCCTCCGGATGGCGAGGAGCTCGATAGAAGCTGCCGGACAGGCCGGAAACTTCGAGTTTGCCCCCGGGGATCCGGCGATACTCGTAACGTCAAGAAAAATATCTTCCATACGAGTGATTATTATGGGGGCCATACACCGCCGGGGAAAACCGTAAAAGCGGGCCTGCGGTTTACTGCCTCCGAGCGGGGGCTAGGCCGAGGCGAGCCCCGAGTTACCGTTCGAAAATATAGGCTCGTCGCGACGGAAGAACACCGGCCCCGCGATACATTATTTAAACGCGGGGCGAATTATTCGGTGGATCCTGTCCGAGCGTAAAAGCGTTACGGGCCGGGCCTAGACAAATAAATTCCCTACGACCGGACGTGGCCGGAGACTGCACAGGAATATAAACCTACGGATTATCGACCCGTTTTCCGAGCCTGCTCTGCCTTTCCCTTCCACCCTCTTGCATCGTTCCTGTCCGCTCTTTCCCGCTCCGCCCTCGCGTTGCGCCCGAGACTCGAAATGAAAATAAATTCCACGTTGTTACAACGCGGACGAAACATTGAAACCTCCGCGGAATACGAATGACGCGCGGCAACGACTGGACTGCGTTCCAATGGCGGACGAGGGATCATAGGACTCACCGTAAGTTTTCCGGTTGTTTATCGCGTGCCGCGCAACCTGTAACAAGAACAAATTCCAATCAAGTCAAACGCTATTCGTCCGCAAAGGGTTGAGTTTAGGTAGAGGACGAGAGGGATCAGAGAAATCGATGAGCTTTATGTAGAGAGATTCTTAGGACAGAGTGATATTGTATGTATAATGCGTCGGTGTGTGAAATATTGGCATAAAAAAGCTTTGTTTCTCAATTCACTTGAGATTCCTCTTTGAGTTCCATTAAAGAAACATCGTCTTTGTCTAGTTAGAAAATGTTAAAGATATCTAGCGAAATACTTCCGAGTGCAAAGGGTTAAGTCGAAGTCCCGAATCTCGAACTAAAACTCGATCGAGCGATTCGCGTTTCCACGGTGCGGAACTGCGAGCGCGTGTAGCTGGTTCGCTTTCGACGCTCGTCGCCGAGGAAGTGTATCGGGAACGACGCAACGCGTGTGAAACCGTGTCGCTTACTCGGATTTCCTGTTCACCTTGCTAGAAACGGACAGCTGGGCCGTGGGTTCTCGAAAATGGCAAGCGTCGAGTGTTTACCGGCTCGTCGTGGAGCTCGCGGAAGGACGCCGCTGCCCAGCTGCGTCCAAGGGAATCCTTATTGAATAATTATGAGCGAGCACGTTCCACCGCGCGGCGGCCGATCGTTAGGTCGCGGGTTTGCACGCGTTCGTGTGAATCGCGACCGCGGGGGACAACGGATAATCAAGCTGTATCGCAAGAGAACTTTCGGTCGTTCTGCCTTTCACCGCGGAACCCTCCAAGAAACAACAACACTTGCACGTTAATAACAAACGACAGAGAATTTGCAAGCGTTCCTTTCGCAAATGAGAGACAAGAAGTGTACACTGTATTCTCATTTCAATTCTACTATCTACTCGACCAAAGCAGAATTGGATCATCGACAGTCTATCCTTATTTAACACTAGAACTACCGAGCATTTAATGCGATTAATATGCAATTCCTATAAAAACTGTAACGATAGATTATTTTTAGTGTCCTCAGACATTCATTATAATCAAATGAAACTATTTATTTTCAAAATCGTTTCGAATATTCAATGCTTCGAAGATATCAATAATAGCTAAACAAAAGAACCGAAACCAGTCATTTCGTCTGGTACGAGTTCTAGTTAAGATCCGAATCGCGTCGTCCAAGGGGCAATTGAAACCAGACAGTACGCCAGACACGTCGCGCATCCTTTCTCTTCGGTCCGTTTAACGCAATTTCGCTCGACCCTTAAGCGCCACGGAATCGCGTGCTTTCCGAAGAGCAAACCTACAGCTTGTTCGGACATCCGACGACAGTAAAGCGCGATTACGATCCGCCGAACGTCCTCGCTCCGACGACCGTCCAAGAGAAGAGCCTAAAATTCCCGTTCGACCTCGAGCTCTTTGGACCGCGCCAAAGAAATTTGATTTTCTACGCCGGCGAACGGAAAAAGGAGAAACTGTGTCATCGCGCGATACAATCCACCTGTTCGACTCTTACGAATACACGCTCGTGCGCCTACGTTTATTACTACCGTTATCGGGTTCTGGTAAAAGTATGTCGGAACATTTCCGAGAGGATATTCCCGTGTTTGATGTAGCCACGGACCCTTGGGCGGTTCCAGGGCGACCGAAAGTAGTTCGCCGAAGTAACGATACGTACGTCGTGACACGGCGAACCCGGCGGAATCATAAATGAAAACTACATCTGCGGATTCCGGCCCGGGGCAATCCTCTCTGATCGGAAACTGCTCGAACCTTTCTGTTGGATTAGTCGAATCTCTCAAGAAACTTCCGAGACGACTCCGCCATCGTTCACCGCGTCGGATTATTTGTAATATTTATTTCCAGAAACAAGTTCCCGACTTGTAGGAAAACGAGAAAACATTTCAGGCGACCCGACAAGCGAGAGAGAACCTGAAAAAGCGGATGCTCGACACACGACTGTGGGTGTCACGGTATTTTCCTCCGACCTCTGGACCCAAGCCTCTTTTTACAGCCTCGACTTTATTGTTATCGTTACCAACGAGTTCCCCCGTGCACCGTTCCGAGGAAAAGGGAATGGTACGAATAAGTACATACACGTTCGCTCGGAAAGTATCCCCGAGGATACGAAAACAGAAAAAACGCGAATTACGGTGGTACGGTACCAATTTTTGCAAGAATTCTACGCGAACCGTATTAACCCTCTGCGGTCCGAAGTGCTCTTGGTTTCTCACTTTGAGGTTCACGTCGACGTTCATTCGATTACAGCTTAATATTGCGCTCTATTAATTTTTTCAAGAATATTTGGGAGTCACTGAAATATTACCTTTAAATGGTACAATTGTACTACAAATAAATGTAGAAAAAATTGTTAAAGGTAGAGGTTGCAATAAAATAGAATGTCGAGACTGAGTCGACATGGGACTGCTAAGGTTTAAACGATTAATACCCATCGTCCGATCGAAGCAGCGTTACAGAGCCGTCGAAGGAACGAGCTACACTGAATTCGCCTCGAAATCGTTCCGAGAAGCCCCGAGTAACGGAATGCAACGCGTTACTTTCTAGTGAGACGTGGAGTGATCATTCGCGCATCCGTCGAATCCCCCGAGGGAATCGACGCAACCTGCAACGAGATGCTCGCGCTAGAGCCCGACCTTCCGTCCAGTGAATGGTTCCGTTGTGCTACTTGCGATGTTGTACCGGTGTTTACGCCAACGCCGACGCGAACGTCGGGCGCGATCGAGCTCTCTCGGACAAACGGATCGAGATTTTCCTGCTACCGTTCACGCTGTCAGCCGAGAGTGTCGATTGTTCTCCGAGAAAACTCGTCGCGTTTCCGCTAGCGTTGCAAGAGCCTGATCATCGATAACGATGGGACGACACGCTGATACTGTTGCTCCGATCGAGACAAGGGATTAACCGGACACTCCGAGTGTTTGCTCGGTGACCGTTGCTCTAGAATCTAGCTACACTTTGTTGGCTGACTACTGTGTACAATGGAACAGCGTTATCTTTGCGCGAAATAGTCGAAAGATTTTCAGTGGAAATATTGAAGATTATCCGATGGGATTTGGAAGATATTTTCTGAGACTAAGTTGGGAGATCACACATGAATGGAGCGTAGTTGCTACACTGCACAAGCTTAATATCAAATGACAAACTTCACGTATCAAATCTAGCTCGCCAGTCGTCGAAATCAAAGACCTCGGAAATTCCGACGAATGCTCCGATACACCCAGGTTCGAACTGTCCGGAGTATCGCGAGTCGTTATCGCTTTGTATTCCGCGAGCGTTCCAAGCGGTGAGTAAAATCTGACCTCTTTACTCGAGGAAACAATCGCGAAGAATCAACAGAAACGAGGTGTCTCGCGTGGGAGCACGAGTCAGCGGTGTTATCAACGTAAACACGGTCGTAACGCGTCCCCCGTGATAAGGAGCGCGTATCGCTTTGAGGTCGTTTCTAATCGCGAGTCGCTCCTCCGCGCGGCTCGCCGGTAATGAACAACTTGTCGCGTAATATCCACCTGCGTTTCCGCCCGAGCCGGGCAACCTTCGCAACGATCGGAAAGCGTCAGCGCGTGTGGGTTAGCGTACGCCGTCTGGCTCCGTGTACCGATCGCATCATCGATCCACGTTCGATTTCCAGCAACCTTGCCGGGGAAAAAAACTCCCGTCCTCTTACGCAAACGAACATCGACGAAACGTTCAATTATCTCGCCTCGTTCCTGTTCTACGCCTGCTCATCGCCGATATCTCGCCTGCGAACTGGCGATCACGATACGATTCCGGTGCATCCTCGCGATTCCTCGTTGCGATAGAATGTACGAAACTGTATTGCGCGATTCCGAATAAATTATTTCCGCCGCGGGGAGACCTCTAGATTCCGAAATGTTCCGTAAGGATTCTCGGAACGCGCTTCCTTCGTTTCGATTCAGAAATCGAACGGCGCTTTCCTATTTTTGCGAAAACAATCGAAATAACGAACGTTCCGGTTTCTCATTTCCAAGCCGGTGACGACGGAAACGAGAAGATTGAAAGGGGAACAGAGGAATGAAGTTTATTTGATTCTACGAACCGATAGGTAGCACTTTTAGACTCAAACGGTTAAGACTAATGATTGCAAAGAAAAGCAGGAAGCAGTCGAAGCGACCGTGGCGATAATGAGTCGGTCGAACGAAAACCGAGCAGGAATCGCGTTTCGTCTGGTGTCCTATTAATTAACTAGCCGATTAACCCCGCAAGTGTCAGCCTTCGATTCAGCTGGCGATCCCAAGGCAGCGCGCGGCTGCTCGGCCGCGAACGAAACGGCCAAGAAAATTAACTAATTGAGCAATTACACGGCTAGACGGCCGAATCAAGATGCCCGGGAACGATCGCGCGGATCGGGGAACATTTTTCATCGCGCCGCGATTCATGCGAGCCTGTTCTCGGGCGAACAACGCGCTCTACTGTGCGCCGGGCGCGGCCCGGGCTTCGGGAAACAGAGAACGATTCAACTAATCCGCCCGGAAAGATTGCACGGACCGTTTAACTGGCTCTATCGTACTCCCGCTCCCATAAAATTGTTCGCGATTTCTTGTCAGCCGGATAAAGATCGCAGCTGCGCTACCTTTTCGTCCGGCGAGCGAGGCCGGACGCGTCGCTTCGAAGCTGAACCGTAAGGGATTCGAGGAGCATCATTGCCGAAGCTATTTTATCCTGGATCATTAGCTCCTTGCACTCGAAAGGTCTCGACTATAAATAATCGGTGAGATGTGGACGACATTCTTTAAAACTGTTTAACGAAAACGTCCGCGAATTAAGAAACGAAGATGTTGCGTCGTTATTCGACGTATCGATGAATTATAGGATTAATATTACATAGAAGACTATAATTTTACTGCATCCGTTATATCTTTGCTATATCCACCTCTGCAGTGCAAAGCATTAATTAGAAGGAAAAGGAATTCTAACCCAGACAACCGTTGGTAAGATGGGATTAACCTTTTGCACTCGAAAGTTTTTCAACGGAAATATTAAACATTTTCTGACGAGATATA